AGCAGCTATCCGATCGGTTGTCCGGCTCTTGAAGCGGCTGTTGTTGGTCTCGTGGCAGTGCCGACACGGTGAGAGAACATCCGCCAGTGCCTAGAATTACCAGGTGGATGATGCGTCCAGGGTCCATGTTCGGTGGTGCCCTACTATGCGATGGCTGGCCGATCCCGCTCAGCATGCCTGCCTGTAAGGTCATTTCAGGAGTCGTGCATGCCGTACGCCGGGCAAATATGCACCTCTCTCCCCCCAGGGCTGCATCTCACACCAAATTCTGTCATTCTGTACTGGGCAGCCTGAGAGATGCTTCGTTGCGATTCCTCCAACGTTACCCAGCTCAACCTCGGACCTGGATTCCGGATTCTCTCGCTACCGTCATCGCAGAGAGGAAGAAACGGGGCGGATCGGCTTTCGTTACAAGCATCCGCGGGGTGACACAAAGAGCAGATGAGGAAGAACGCAGCTTCGTATAAGACTCCCCAGGATCTGCTGCATCTCGCGACACTGCGTTTTCCTCAAGGGTTCGAGCGGATGCCCCGCATGCTGAGGTTGTAGCGGTGAGTGACTGGCTGTGGTCATCCTGCCATGAAGGTTTTCAGCATGCGACGCGCGACCAGGTAAATCCAGAAGATGATACTTAGCCGGAACTGCTGTGCAAACCTTTATCGTACGCATGACGGCAGTGTCTATTATAACGAGACGTGCCTGCACCTCTGAGCAATGAAGGCTTGCCACGCAATGATCCGAGTAGGCGTCCTAGACATTGGGGGCCGCAACTCGAGCTTGTGATGGAGAAGACTCTTCATTGATTATCGCGGCGCAGTTGATGGGCGGGAACGGCAGATGACGAAACTATTTTGAAGCAGTGTGTATGCATGCGAGGCGTTGATGCTTATAGACGAGGTTTATGGGAGCCATCCCCGCGGCAGGCACCGCGCGCGCACGTGCATCGACCAATCATGGCCGGACCCTGCCCGTGTGAACTAGCGCACGTTTTGCCTACCACAGCAGCGCACCACAGCATTAGGCTGCGGTCGCTCAACATCTTTCTGATACATGTCACAGTCAGCTGAGTGGGAGGTGAAGCAGAATAGTTTGATATTTATGATTGATCAAATGAGCTGGTCCACACTGCAGACTATGTAAAATGGTGGTGGTCACATAACTGTACATGTCCATCCAGGCTTCAGATTCAGAGCCAATATACTCCAATGCGAAATGTTTTCGTCAGATCAAACGCCATCGCTCACACCATTCTACCATGAAAATGCATGCTCAAAAAGCTCTTTCTAAAACAAGCTCCCCAATCCTTGACGTATCATGACCAGACGTCTTCTTGATACTGATTCGACGCCCTCATGGCCTTGACAATCTCCTCACCCTTTGTCTCTGGCACGTTCCTGTACTTAGAGATGATTTTGCCGAGAAGCGTATTCACCTCGCGGGCCATATGCGCGGCGTCACCGCAGACGTAGAAGTAGGCCTTCTGCTCGAGCAGCTTGTTGACTTCTTCGCCGGCCTCTTCAAGTTTGTTCTGTACATAGACCTTCTTAGGACCGTCTCGCGAGAAAGCAGTGTGCATCTCGAACTTGTCGCCCATGTCTGCTTGGTATTGCTACAGATTGTGTTAGCCCGGAATGAGTGGTTGACATGGCATCATGAGACTTACCTTCCATTCATCGGCATACATGAAGTCCTCTGATTGCTTTCGGCACCCGAAGAACAGAATGGTCTTTCCGACGTTCTGACCAGCCTTTGCCTGTGCAGCTCTTTCTTGAACGAAACCACGGAAGGGTGCGACACCAGTACCGGGTCCGACCATGATGATAGGCTTGGAAGGGTCTGAAGGAAGCTTGAAGTTGGAGTGGCGGACGTGAACCGGGACGTGAATACCGTCGTACTTGTTGCGAGGGCCGGTGATGGTGTAGTTCAGGCCGTGGGGATCCGGGTTGGGGTCGCCGTGTTGCTTCTGCTTCAAGGCCAAGAGGTAGTTGGTAGTGACGCCCTTCAAGGCGTATGGTGCGCCGGGCTTCTCGATAGACTCGACAATAGCAGTGATGGAGATCTTGTCTTTCTGTACTAGAGACGACGAGGAGATGGAGTAGTAACGAGGTTGGATCTTGACCATGGTTTCGAACAGGAACGAGAATGGGATCTTGTCCCATGTCGCGCCCTTTCCAGTGATCTCGAGAAGCTGGCCCAGATTGAGGTTGCGGTCGGTGACCTGCTCCCTGAAGTAGTCCTTGTCGCTACCGAGTTTCACGATCTCAGCCTTGATGTCGTCGTTTGGCGCAAACTGTGCAATGACAGAGACAAGTTGACGCGACACGGCGGCGTTGATCTCAATGTGGAAGCGGACGGCGGCATCGTACGTGGTTGGCGACGGGAATGGAACTTTGGCGGTGGGGTCGAGACCTCGGACTGAAATAACCGTGTGGCGCTTGTCTTCCTTGCCGAGAACCTTGAACAGCCTGTCGACTTCCCTGCCGGCGTTGTTGGGCCAGATGGCGATGTGATCACCGGTGGTGTATGACAGATTGGATCCAGCGATGCTGATTTCCATGTGTAGGCAGTTTCGGTTGGCGGAGTTGAAGAGTTCGGCGGATTCGACGATGGGGGCAATGAAGGGGTTGTTGGCGTTGAAAGGTCCCTTTTGGTTGCCCTCAAGGTGGTTCTTGTTGGGCTCGCCGAGGTAAACGGTGTCGTCTTCGGGAGATAGCTCTGGCTTCTCATTGACTTCGAAAACGGGCTCGTACATGGCTTCGCGCTCCTCCAGACCCATCTTCTCGGCAACAGCAGTCCACATGGGCTCCTTCCAGGCGAGGAAGTCCTCTTCCATGGTGCCAGCGCCATCGTCGCCCTCGCCAGCAGCACCCAGTCTGGTGGCACCGAGCCTCGTCAAGTACTTGTCGACGTTGCGGACCATGGAGTTGTAGTGTTCGTATGTGTTGTTACCGAGACCGAATGCGACGTAGTTGAGCTTGTTGAGCGGCTTGTCGTCGATGCTGCCACCCTCGGAGAAGCTGACATCTTCAGAGCCGATAAACTCGTAGAACTCGACGGCGTTATCGGTGGGCTCGCCCTCGCCGTAGGTGGCTAGTACGAATACGGCGAGCTTGTCTTCGGGGAAGGTGTCGAGGTTTTCGAAATCGTACTCCTCCAGATCTGCCACCATGGTCTTGAGGCCGAATCGCGAATGGCCCTCCTTGGATATGCGGGAGGCATAGTCCTCTGCCGTGCCCGTCTGGCTACCGTAGAAGACGACGCAGTTCTTGTCCGTCTCGTCCATCTTCTCTATTATGTTGCGCGACTTGCCAGCCTTTGCAGCGCCATTGGCCGTGGCCATGGAGCTGCCGTAGGGGTCTCCATAGACGCCCCAGTAGGTGCCTTTGGTGAAGTAGGCTACTGTGCCGACCAGGAGGGCGGCCAGCACGATAAGGTCCAAGGTGTCGAGTTGTGCCATGGTGCTGAGAGGGGCGTTAGCAGAGTCGGCGGGAGAATGAGGGGCTGGCTGACATGGACACAGTAGAAGGTTGCCGTCCGGAAGGGGATTGGAAACGACACGGTAATATTTGTATGCGGCTTCGCAGCGGAGCGTCGGACTGGCGAGTGGCCGTGCGTCTCAACTCAATCTTATCAAGATCTGGCCACGGAGCCGCAAGCAAGCTGTTGAGACAGCACACCAAACGGTAATCTCGCCTTTAGACTCTACACATCTCTGACCGCTTCCTCGACACGGGTAAAGTGGCCAAAAGTGGTGCCGTCACTGACTGGCAGGCGCCCATCGGAAGCCGAAGCGTTCCGCAGCCATTCCGCTGGGGCAGCTCAGAAACAACGGCGGGCCTCAGGTGAGACCCTGACTTTCCCGACCCTCGCGGCCTTTCCGCCATGGCTACCAAGAACCCCGCCAGCACTTCGGTACCTTTGTGGGGCACACTGCGGCCACACATACGACGACCTCGTGCGAATCACGGCAGATGGAGGCATCGAATCTACAGAGGAGCAGCGTCAAGCCGGCGGTAAGAAAGATGCAGCATGCACGCGACAGTCGTGCAAGGCTAGGCGATGATAGAGACAGTAAGCATGTGATGGCCAACTCCAGGGCGGGAAACTTTCCCGTCCTGACAATAGATTTCACGGTTCGCTCGAAATGAGAGTTTTCGCGTATGATTGCGCAAAGATGACGAGGCGTCTTGCCCAGTGCTCAAATGCTGTCAGTAGTCTTCCTGGGTGTTCCTGGTATCATCTCATGGATGCTTCACGCACCAAGACCGTAGACTAAGCGAAGCCTGGAAGTGCATATATGCGCAGCCAGAGCAAGTGCAGGTGGCAGTATCGACTGAGGTAAAGAGGCGCCTATCCCGATGCAGATATCTAAGTCTTGTCATCACTGCGCGTTTAAGATGTCGCAACTCCCACGTCTACAGTCTTGCATCTCCAGCCTTACTGCACGTGTGTCATAATGAGTCAGCCTACTATTCTCATGTACGAATAGACATGTGCATGGTGAACGACAAATCACAGATGGAGAAGCATCGCGTACGGCAGTTACCAATACTCTTCCTTCCGATCAAGGTCAGCTGAGCACTATCTAGGTATCTAGGATAGAAGCGCCCGTTATCAGGTACCTCTCAGAGACTGCCTAGGAGGCATGCTGACACGGGAGGAACCCCTCACCTACGTATGAGGCTCTCGAGGTCTATCGATAGCTTGCCATGCCCAGCTCCCAGAAAGGCAGACCACGTGGGACTGAATAATCTCCAGGCTCGGATCGATCTCCAGAGCCGTGTTGATGCCGGGCGCCATGGATGATCGTTGCCTCGAATCAGGCTAGACGGCGGCTAGTCAGGCACAGGGCACCTCTACGTACCCATTTCATCCACGTCGAGACATCCATGACAGCCGTCGCGACCCTTTTAACGGCGCCCTCTACGTCTTGAGCCTTGAAAGACGGGCTGCAGTATTCTCCGCGCGCCACGGAAAATGCTGCACGCGAAGCCTGCGGCATGTGTGAGTAGCCTTTCCCTAGTCCCAGGCCCGTCGTCATCCAGCTGTGAAACGCACTCCCCACGCGGCCTGGAGTTTGACAGTGCCGGCTCTTCAGGTGCCATGGCGACAAAGCCTTATCTTGACGTCGACGCTTCTCCGCGCTGCCTCAGAACTGTGCTGACCCCTGTGCCTTGCCCAATGCAGCTGCTTTCCCTCTCCTGCAAGCTCGACCAGCTGCTGGGAATGTGTCGCACCATATAGAGCACCCCTCGTCGGCCTCGCGTGAGCCCAGCCAGACCCGCGGGCGTGCGCTGACTGCCTCGTCACGAACCATTGCCTCGCGCTCCCAAACTCCGGCCGTCAAGGCTGCCAGCAGCAACTCGAGCCCCGACCGCACCCTGACGACGCTCGAGCGCAAACCCTCGGGCTCGTACGCCCACAACCGCAACACGTCCATCGTCCACGGCATCCAGCACTCGCGCAACACCAGCTTCGTCAACTCCCCCGCCACCAGCCCGCTGAGCCCCCAGATCATCGCCGCCGCCGCCGGGGCAACCCTCGATGGAGCCCTCATGTCGCAGGAATCAATAGCCGACGCCTTCGCCGCCAACGGCATGCAGCCAGGCGCAGGCACGGGGAACGTCTATGCCGGCGTGGGGCCCCAGGCAGCGTCCAGCGATGGAAGCATTTCTCACCGCAAGCCTGAGCGGGCGCCGAGTGCCAGATCCGTGCGAAAGGGCCACAACCACCATCGCTCTCAGTCGCGCCACCCGCCGCATCCCCACGAACTCAAGACGGTTGGCGAATATGCCCTGCACCACCTCTTCAACGCCTTCATCAGTCAGGCCGAGCAGAAGATCAACCAGTGCATGACGGAGAGAGGCCAGCCTGAGGCCCGCGTAGAGGGTGTCTGTGGACCTGGTGTAGACCCCACCTTCGACCAGCTCATCGCGGCCCTGGGCCATATTGCGCGCCATAAGCCAAAGCCGCTCATAGACACCATCATGCTATGGCGCAAAGCCAAGAGCGAGGAGGCGTCCAAACAGCGCACTCACTTACTTACTGCCCGACAAGCCAACCCAGGGCTTCAACTCCATCCTGCGCTATCTCGACGTAATACTGAACCGGTCCAACAACTGGATAATCAATCCGCAGCCTCTGTAGCATCTGGCCCCGACCACATCGTCGCTCTGCAGCAGACTGTCACGCAAGCCGAACAGCGCTCAACCGTCTCAACCTACATCCTTTGCCGCGTCCTGATCGAGATCATGACCCAAACCGATCTCCATAACCTGACTTTTGAGATGGCCGACCGTCTTCTTGGCCTTTTCTACGGCCAGCTTAGCACCGTGGACCCTGACCTCGTGGACATATCTCCCCTCAACCTCGCCAATTGGACCATCTACAGCCAGCTGCTCGGTGTGCTGAGTGGCCTCATTTTTGAGCAAGTGCAAGACAAGTTCATCACCGACCTGAAGATCGTCGATGGTCACTTGGCCATCAAGAATCAGTACAACCGAGACCATGAAGCCAAAGGCGCCTTGCTCATTCGCGCTCTAAGGCACCTACAAGTGAAGTCCTATCCTGAAGACACCTGGGACCGGACATGTGATTTCATGCTTTCCATGGCAAAGCTTTTCACCAGTGCCCACGGCCAGCCGGTCAAATATGCGTACTGCCAAGTCCTAAGGGAACTCTTATTACGTATCACCTCTAAAGCGACTATTGAACTCAACGCACCTAGATGGAAGACTGTGATCGACATGATGAAGCAGCGCGCTGCCATACTGCTGGGCAAGCCGAAACACTGGCACGAAGCCTTCCCACTCATGGCCGCCATCCTATGTGCTTCTCCGACCGAAACCTTTCTCTCCCAATGGCTTGCGCTCGCCTTGTCCACTCAGCCACGACTCAAAGAGCGCGCAACCAGAGCCATCGCCCTTCGAGGCATTTGTCGGCTAGTGTGGACTTACATATACAGGCGGGGAACCGAGGCACCAAATGTCGCTGTTCGCCGGTTGGAAGAAATCATACGAATGGTGTTCCAGCCCGGAAGGCGATCGTACCTATCAACTGAACCAGCCATCGCTGAACCATTGATACAACTGACACGCATTATCGGCTACAAGTACCAAGACCTTTGCTTCAAGACCATCATCTTTCCCCTGCTCAACTCCGACATGTTCCTGTCGGGCCGAGAATTGCGCGTTGAAAACCTAGAGCCTGACCGTATGGTCATTGGTATCCGCTCGTTTCTGGCCATCATGGCTGATCTCGAAAACACGGAGCAGCCGCCTTTTCCACTTACGTTCGACTACGATCCAAACGCGGTATCGAACGAGCTCCCGGCTCTTCCTTCTAGTCCGCGGCCTTCACAGCCTCTACCCATAAAGTCAAGTCTCCTCAAGGAAGAGCGTTTGTCGCGTCCTGTGAACTTCGCCGGTTTCGCCGAAGTGGCCAAGGAGTACTATATCCGCTTCTGTAAGATCCTGGGGGAGATCACCATCATCTGCGACAACGCATTCGGAGGCCAGGCCGTACTCGACGAGAAATTCTCTTCGCAAACACCAAAGACGCCTATGGCGGCGGCCTTCAGTTTCGCTCCTCGTGAAGATTACATGACCACTACGGATCCGCGGCAAGGGTTTTATGACCTCTTGCATGTCGCTGTTCAGGCTTTACCCCGCTGTCTGTCTCCACACATACCATTCAATTCACTAGTAAACCTGCTGTGCACCGGAACAGCCCACGTACAGGGGAACATCGCTGTGTCATCCGCTCAATCACTCAAATCTATAGCCCGACAATCACATGCGCAGCAAGTCACGATTGGCTTTGCACGGTTCATCTTTAATTTCGATGACCGTTATGCCACTATGTCTGATGGTGGCATGCTTGGGGCTGGGCACATCGAGAATACCTTGAAACTCTACGTGGAGCTACTAGAGATATGGATTGAAGAGATCAAGCGCAAGACACGCAAAGCAGCATTGGATACGCCAGATGACGGTTCTGGTAATCGCGCGGCTCTTCTTGATCTGTCTTCAGTGTGGGCGCACGTTGACGAAGTTGAGTCCCATGGTCTCTTCTTCCTATGCTCGCCTTCACGTCGCGTCCGCTCGTACGCTGTCACAGTGCTGCGCCTCATAACTGAATTTGACACGGCTCTGGGAGGCTCCAATACACGTGTTATCCGGGTAATGGAGGGCAGCCCCCAGAGAGTCCTCGACATTAGCGATGAAAAGTTGTCGTTGGCTGAGCGCAGTCGATTGCAACGCGGCATGCGCAAGAGCAATGTACAGAGTACCCTAGTTGAGCTTTGTGGTAGCGACGTGCCGTACGACGCTACCCTTTGGTTCAAGATCTTCCCGAATCTGGTTCGAATCAGCTTTGAGGTTTGTCCTTTCGCTGTGACTCTCACTCGTGACATAGTCTGTGCGAGACTTGCACAGATGTATCGCACTCTATCATCCTTAGCCGAGGGTCAGCGCTCTACACCGTATTCACCCTTCGAGCCCGGGAGTAGCAAGCTCAGCGGCCGCCTTGCTTCCACATCACCGGAAGTCGTTATCGAACAGTGGAAGTTGTACCTTATATTTGCCTTCACGACATTGACAAGTCTCGGTCCGACGGCCACATCAGCCACGCAAGGAAATCACTCGCGTAAGAGCTCAAAATCTTCACAAATAAGCACGAATAAGCAACATACTGCTACCGAGTTGTTTTCCAAAGTCCTTCCGTTCCTGTCAGTGGACAATGTCGCCATTCGGGATGCTGCGGTCATCGGCCTCGGTTCCGTCAACCTCAACCTCTATCGTACACTGCTCGAATCGCTTCAAGGGATCGTGGCTGCTTGCGCCGAGGAGGCGAAGATGCGCTTGGGAAATCACAACCGGACGATCAGCAGTCCTCGCCCGATCAACTATCGAACTGACCATCTTCGGACTGAGATTACACACGTCTACAAACTGACCTCTCAGCAATTTCTCAAACTCCCTGAGGCTCACAATGACGAATGGATAATCAACAATCTCATGAACTACACCAAGGATCTGAGAATATTCCTGAGTGATACGGAGGTCCAACTCGAAGCGCGCTATCAGAAGCTACGTACGCACTATTGTGGACTGGTGGAGGTTTTGTTTGAGGGCATCAACAAAACCAGTGATCCTTTGCATTGGATGCCTTTCCAAGCCCGGAAAGCTGCATTCACATTGATGGAAGAGTGGTGCGGCTATGCGGCAAACCAGTCTCAGATCCGCCAGCGTGAAGAACAGATGCGCCGTTCCATGCTTGATCGAGAGGTAGATAAAAACAACAAAGGCAACGCGACTGCGGCTCTTGAGATCGAAAAACGCGATCTTCGAACCGCAGCGCTGAGTGCCATGGCGGCGTTGTGTGGCGGGCCTGTGAGTATTACCACTGACAGCAAAGTTCTGCTTCAGTTCGATGTTATACGCATGCTCTCGTGGATCCAGAGCATCTTCGAAACCCCGAGCGATCGGACACACGCGATTGGTCGCCGAGCACTCACCAACCTTATACTGCACAACCGCGAGCATCCATACTTGCTGGACAAGGCAATCGAAATGTGCTACCTCGCAGTTTCTGGCAAAGCGTTGGAAAGCTACTTTGAGGTTGTCACACAAGTCCTCACACAACATGAGGACTATACGTTGCCATTCTGGAAAGTACTCAGCGCTGGTCTTTATACGCTTGGACACGAGAATAGCGAGATACGCACCAAATCAACGCGATTGCTCCGAACGCTTGAAGCTCGCGAGGGCAAGAACTCGAAGTTGCAAGATCTAGATATCAGCATTTCTGACAAGACTGTTGCTGTCTACAAGCTGGCGCAATTCGAGACGTCACGGAGGCTCGCTAAGCAGCATGCTGAACTCGCCTTCCTGGTCTTCTCGCAATTTTCCTACTACTTCAAAGATCTCAAGCCTGACCACAAACGCAACATGGTTGCCGCTATGCTTCCTTGGGTGCAATCCGTCGAACTCCAAGTAAATCCGGATGGAGGACCGACTGCTAACTCTTACATGCTGCTTGTCAACCTCTTTGAAATCACTTACAAGGCCGGCAACGTACTACACAATGAGATTCAGGCGCTCTGGCAAGCGCTAGCAACGGGGCCGTACGGTGGAAATGTTCAGTTAATATTGAACTTCATCATCAACCTTTGCCTAGACAAACGGGAACAAAACTACGTCGACTACTCCAAGCAGATCGTAGTCCATCTATCGAGTACCCCTGCAGGGCTGAAGGTGGTCGAATTCTTGCTCCTACAGATCAACCCGCGGTCCATGGTAAGCGAAAAGCGCGAGCCTATGCCACCACCACCAGACGCCGTCAATCTACCATACTTGGCCGATCTCACTCAGGTCCTACCAAGTAGCAACAAGCAGGTAAGCATAAAGTAAAACTTGGAATGAACTGCGCTAATTCTCATAGTCCGGCTTCGCTCTGGGACAAGTTTGCCTCATCCTGTTGGTTGATCTTATGGTATCTCCAGTTGAGCTAGCCAAGGAGCACATTCCTTTGCTTCTACAGGTGGTCTTGGTTCTTTGGGATCACTATACTTCTGTAGTTCAGGACCAGTCTCGCGAGATGCTTGTGCATCTAATCCACGAGCTAGTCATCTCCAAGATTGAAGACGATACGCCAGGCATCAACAAAAGATCGATCGAAGATTTCATTGAAGGTATTCGACAACATGACGCCAAAGTGGTATGGAGTTACGATGACAAGAATGGCAAAGACGTTGCAGATTCAACGTTCAAGGTTCCCGAGCCGATGGAGTATGTTGCTGGCGAGGTCATGAGATTCTTTTCATTCGCGTACCCTGGGCTTCGAGAAGCTTGGGGGCGAGTCGCACTGAATTGGGCCACGTCGTGTCCGGTCCGACATATTGCATGTCGATCATTCCAGCTCTTTCGCTGCATCTTGAGCTCGCTCGATCAGCAGATGCTTTCCGACATGCTTGCAAGACTTTCCAATACCATATCAGACGAGGAGAGCGATATACAGACATTCTCTATGGAAATACTTACGACGTTACGAACGATCATAGAAGCACTAGCACCGGACGACCTCATACAGTACCCTCAATTGTTCTGGACCACTTGCGCATGCTTGGATACCATACACGAAGGCGAATTCATGGAGAGCCTGCTGATGCTAGACAAGTTCCTCGACAAGCTTGATCTGGGCGACGAAGAGGTGCTGGCAATCCTGGAAGAAAGTTGCCCGGATAAATGGGAAGGCAAGTTCGAAGGCCTTGCTCAACTGACGTACAAGGGTATCCGGTCGAGCACATGTCTGGACCGATCTTTACGAATCCTGGAGAGATTGGTGGTCCTACCTTCCAGCCGCATCGTGGGCGATGATAGCCGACTAATGTACGCCATCCTCGCGAATCTGCCAAGATTCCTACGCTCGTTCGACTCTACAGCAAAAGATTCTAGTGTTCGAGCCACCGCCGAAGTGCTTGCAAAGGTTGCCGATCAGCACTACCAATGCACATCGCTGTCCGAAGCGTTGACAGCCTTCGCAATGAAGAGGTATCGTCAAGAGAAGGATTTTCTCGCGCAGACAATGTCCGCTATCCGCTCAACGTTCTTCCCAGAACATGAGTTCGGCAGCCTCGTGTTCCTGCTCGGTCTCTTGATGAACAACATCGATTGGATGAAGATCAACACAATGGAAGTCCTCTGCGTCCTGTTACCCGAGATCGATATGCGCAAGCCGGAGATGGCCTCCAAAGGATCCGATCTTTTCTCGCCTCTTCTACGACTACTACAGAGTGCGTATTGCCCTCAAGCTCTGAGGGTTCTGGACTTCGTCATCAATCTCAACATGACTAGTACTCTTACGCCGTTCGACAAGCAGCATATTCGAATGAGTATGGCAGGTTCTCACTCCACCAGAGGGTACAAGAAACAGTTCGAGAAAACGCAGTCATTGTACGGTATCCCTGAAGAAAGCGGCTGGTCAATTCCGATCCCCGCCCTGCACTCGCAGTTGACGAGGGCCAACGTCCACGCTGTCTTCTACACCTGCGGAAATTTCGGTGAGATGAATGTGCCAGACACCGAGACACCCAAAGTAGAATTCCGCCAAGAAGAATTCCCGTTCAGCCCGTTATCCGACTACCACCGAACAGCGACCATGACTTCAGAAGATACTCGGGGCGACAGTCACATTGGTGAACTGGTCATGAAACTAGACAGCTTGGACGACTTCTTTGAGGATGATGATGACGCCGAGACGTTGACAGACCTACCAAACTTCTCATCCTCGGGGCGTTACGCGAATGGATCGTTTGCTCACGATATGCGTGAGAATCTATACGATCAGCAAACGGCGCCTATCCTGCACAAATCTCTTACGCGGAACGCATCCGTTACATCATTTCAGTCGGGGTTCATCTCTGATGTCAAGCTCTCCCCGGCTAGGGACCCTGGTGTCATGACCCCGGGCGCTTTCAGCTCCTTTGCCAACTCTTCTTCGAGTACCTTACCCCCAACAAGCCACCCCCGCCCTAATTTACATGCCCGATCAGTGACGTCGCCATCTGCTCCAAACCAACCACAGCGCATTTCACCTTCACTCTCGTCCACCACTCTTGACGAACAAAACGAGCCGTTCTCCGACGACGAGTACTCGGCTGGTCGTTCGAACAGCACAGACAAAGCCGGGACCTTTAGTCTGGAGAACATCATCAAACCCGTCGCTCACGATACGCGAAGTCGCTTTAGGAGCGGCATGAGGCGACTGACTGGCGGCGGCGGGGACAATAAGGAAGGGGCCAAGACAAGAGACGCGATCAAACTGGCATTACAAAAGAGTCCCCAGGTGCCAAAGGTACCTGACATTTACCTGGTGAATCCCAAGAGCGCGGATCTGTAGGATGGCCGGAAGAAGCGAAGAGTACATAAGATAGGTGCTCGAGAACACGAGTGCCAAGTATATACATGGGGTAATGTGTTTATTTGTACAAAGAGAAGGGTGAAATGACCGGATACCAAGGCGTAATATTGGGATCGTGCTTTTGTACGAGGAAAGGATGATTTATTGCATGTGTGGGTGACGTCCAAAAGATACCAAACGCTCTTTTCCTTTTAGCTGTTTCCAGCTCGCGAGATACCATAGTGCCAACAATACGATTAGAATGCTCATGTACTATTCGTATCCATCGTTCTCTAACCACAGCATCCTGCGTCATCAATCGACATGCATCCTAGCGTATGCTTATGGCTGCCTCGTACCCTGGTGGTGAAACATCAATGTCGAGTTCGCCGCTCTCAAGTCTATGCTCAATCGCTTCACACCTTCGATTACACTTTAGCCAGCCTGTTGTCGGAACAGGTAAGCCGTGGTCTCGATACCAGGTTCGTTCTACCGCCGTCATCCAGTGTATCGGTGCTCCATTATTGACAAATTCCTCCCGCTTCTCTCGGTCTACATCATCTCGAACCTCGAGGTCACCTACAAATAGAGGCGCAATATCCCGCACTCCTGTGGGTGCATAACTTGGTACTACGGCTATCGTGGCGCTGAGTGAGGATAGTATTGTGGAAGCAATGCGTGCGAATATGCTCTCTCTTGGCTCAGTAGATGGGGTCGGAGTAATAGAGGTGGACGACAAGACGGGTGTGGACTGCCATTCTGGGTGGTCATGTAGGACTTGGGCAAACGATGATGTAGTCAGCCAACCGCGTTTCTGGTAACAGAGCGCGATGGAGGGGTGCGTTGTGCGGATTACGACTGGGCCCGCTGGATGGTGGATGTAGGTGAGCATTGTTGCAGGGGTGGTGTGCATGGGTATTGGGGTACGTGCTGCATGAGGAGCGCGAGCTTTGGCAAGTGCTTGCAGCAAACATGATGTGTGAACTCTGTGAAGAGGGGTCACGTATAATGCGCAATGTGAAGGCATCGGATATCACAGGTTGTGTCAATCTACGAGAGCGTAATTGTGCCGAAATACTGCGCTGGACATAGTAACCATTGGGCGCGTGCGAATAAACTTCTGCGCATTAGACACGACTGTTGTCGTGCTGTTGAGTTGAGGTCGCCCCATATTCAGGTCGGACACAGAAAATGACAGCCTTATCGTGACAGCCTCTTCCCTGACAAAATTGAAATGTGATGCAGCGATTCAAGAGGATGCCCAGGTGTCAAGGATGCCATGCGAGTCCGTGCAGTGCTAATGATCTAACAGCCCTAAATGGCGTGGCATTCCAAATTCCACGCCAACATGATAGAACCGGTAACTTTCGCAGTCCCATAACCGGTAACTTTCGCACTCCCAGAAAAGATCGTTATGTTACACGCACGCTGAAAGATGCATTAGTCGCGACACGAGGACGATCGTGGCTGACTGGTTGTCGCACCTCAATTCGGTAGACGCGGGGAAGGAGGCTGAGGAGCCATCTCCGGATTCGTCGGCGGAAGAATAGATGCGCCATGGGTACCCTGCAGCCCTGGAGGAAGCTGAAGGTTTAGCGCACGCAGTAACGTCTAACACATGGCAGCTGGGCAGCTTCCTCCCCTATTCGCCTCTCAGACAACACGCCATTTCAGCACTGTTGCTATGTCAGACCGACATTTGGTTAACGTGCTATCGTGCACTCAGCCAACCTCCAATTTGGGCTATTATCGTGGCGCGCGCACCCAGCAGCGACCGTTGCGTGTTCAGCTACGTCGTGATGGCCGTTTGAGAGCCCAAAGATAAGTCAGCGCTGTGCTGAAACGCCTCACTTCACCGAACGCTCTGACCATGACGCCTTGACATGCCGGTCGCACTGCTTGCAGTGGTGTCGTACTCATGTCAAACACGCTGTCTGTGTGAGAGGGTATGAAACAAAATAGATTTTTTCGGCCTTTTCCAAAGTCTTCATCCATTGTCCAGCTTTCTATAAAGACGGTCTTTCCGATAAAGACATTGCAATCATTATCTCGAACTCATATCAAACATGTCGACCGTATCTCAAGGCGCAAAGGTTTACCTTATCCACACTACACAACATACTCGCCCTTTCTTGACGACTGTACCTTTCATAGCTCGTGATTTCGCTGCATGGGGACACCGTGTCGATCACCACCCCGCAGACTCGGCATACATCGCTGAGATTCGATCCCGCGAGGATGTGGAACATATGAACCGCAAGGACCGCGGTGGAAGCCGGAGGACGAAGCTGATGGAGATATGGGCAACCGAAGCTGTCCGCAGGAAACGAAGGCAGCGAAGAGAAGCCCGTGGCATCGAAATCGAAACATCGATGGGAGAGGGCGGCTTCGGACCGCAAGATGCCAGAGTGAAGAAGGCTGGTGATTTGGTGCAGGATGTCATCGATGGCGTGGCTTCATTCGGTTAGTGTGCTCTATAAACCCCGATACGGTCATATGACATGAGGAATAGTACTAACAAACTACAAGAAGCTAGATACACAGCGACACCAATCCGGCAGAATACATCACCAGGATCTCCACCTACCATCATCACCACATACACACGCCATCTCTTCGCCATTAGGTACACACCAAATGCACCTCTCCCATCATGGTCGAACCCCGACATCACGTACGCAGACCAAGTCGTCTTGGAGTTCCACGACTATGAAGAGATCAGAAAGGAAGTTCTAGTCCATGCGGTAAACAGCGCTATCGGCAAGAACGAAGGCAGAATGGGCAAAGTGGAAAGATGTCCGAGAACAGCCATGAAGCGCGTGATTCTATGGGTTGACGTCGCAGATGTCTTCTTCGGAGACGTAGTACAAGACGAACGCAATGTGGAAGACAGAGATCCTGTGCCGAAGTACGAGAGAGGAGAAAGGCCGCCGGTGTATGCGGAAGAGAGATAGGCAGTCCAAACATATGATACCCAATGCATGCTTACGCATCTTTACACCATCCCTGCCTCCAACTCTCTGACCTTATAGCCCCCGCATCTAATCATAGACCACCTCCCCCCTCCTGGGACCACCCCTTTGACTCTTCGCTCCCTCCGCCATCAAGCCTTGCATGTTCCTGACCCGCACCTCGGCCATGTACTCTTGTTGTTCCACACTCATGTGTCTGAACTCATTAGGGTTTCTTCTGAATCCAAAGGTCTTGTGTATGGCGTAGCCCATGCAGACGAGTAGCCCCGCGCCGAACAGGATGAGGAGGATGATGGCGCCCTCCGGGATCGCGTAGCCGGCGTCGCGCTTCGCGAGGGGAGAGGCGGTTGCGGTATTGAGGATCGTGAAGAGGACGATTGCTGTTGTGACTGAGGATGCCATGGCTTGGATGGAGCTGGACGTAGCTGTTCGAGGTCTCGATGAGATTGTGGATACGATGTTGGGTAGTGCTTTGATCTGTTACTCCGGATGGGATCAAGACGTGTGTAACGACGGTGAAGGGACCAATCGGAGGTAGTAGAAACGACAGAGCGAGGACGCAGAGTGCCTCTAGATGACTGTATTTGTGTCTCCAAAGACGCTGACAAGGAACAGATGAAGTGCCGTCCAGTATGACCTCGGGGTGTTCCAACGTTTGGCAGTGAGTAAGTGAGTGAGTGAGTGAATGAGAATGAAAGAACAAAACCAGAGCAGTAGGCAACAGCACTTAAACAACAGACGCATAGCCCTCCGTTCCAAAACAATCGACTCCACCCAAACACTGCCTTGCCATCATCCCTTCATCCTCTATTGCCGTTATCATACTTGCGCACAGGCCATACCTTCGTACATTACCTCTTCCGACATAGCGCCCTTCCGCATCGGACGCTGGTTGGTCAACGACACCCAAGCGACCCACCTGATCTAGTCATTTCCAAGGAGAAGACCCACCATGCACGTGACTTTGCGAGCGGACCAATGAGAATGCACGAGGCTTATATGGGCGTGTCCTGAAAAGGCATCCACGCATGGGCTTGTGGCGTTTCGAGACCTGAGTATTGCTGATAATTTACATGGAACATACGAGGATGCGGTCCCGGCGAGGAAGTCCCCTGGAATCCGTGGCGTGGATGTTGTGACTGCATCCGACTTGCCGGTATCTGTCTGCACTCCATGGCTGTGCTTGCCTGCACTGAATGACATGATTTTTAACCTACTTTCGATTCTTTGAGTCAGACTGGGTCTCGGTCTTGTCTTGCGCTCCCCCGAAGTATCGGCTCTGTTCTCGATCCATGAGTACTGAACACTCGGTATCGACAAGTGTTTAAACCGCGCTATATCTTGGTACTGATTTTAGGCGAACAAGTCTTACCAGACCTGAGACCAACGATTTGACAAAGAGAATCAATTGCGATCAGGAGGTGTGCGAGACAAGGATATGAAGCTACGACAAGCCAGCGACAATAGTATATTTTCGCATTACCATGGCAGTGTACTACGAAGACCGAACCAATCTCGAATCGCATATCGTTACAAGATCCGTGGCATGTAATCGTGCAAAAGCGAATGAGTGAACGCAGCCTTGAAAAGGTTACTTTATGCTTACGTAGGGTGTCATGGGGCAGTGCGGTCTCTACCATGGTTGCTTCCTCGCTTGGACGAACCTGACATTTGAAAAGATGATTATGTTGGTTTTTGAGCTTATTCCAACATCTCCGAACAACTTCTTCCGCGAGAACATTCAATCGGAATCGAAATAATATGCAAGGAGGGCACAGCGTGACCACCGCTACGAAACACCAGCAGCTACCACCAACCGCGCGAAGAGGCCGCCCACCTGGAAGAATGGCGCACCGCGACCCTACCGGCACCGATATTGTCGACTATTGTATACGTGGCGAATCAAACCACCTCTACGAAGAACCAGATGTCGAAGAAGACATTGTATATCGCATTATCCCCGGAGATGCCGTGACGGACGAAGAACTGGACATATGCGCTGAAAACTTTTCTTCTGATTACGGCGTGTGGACTTGGAGAGCGCATCTTGTAATGGGGATGATGGCCGAGTATGGTAAGTCCTCCGGTATTATTGGAGTGTGTAGGTCGGCAGCCAAGGACGCATCGTTGACTCTGGTATAGGCAAACCAATACATATGAGTCGCGTAAGACTAAGAGCTCAATGTCTGCCTGAGGGCGCGAACAATATCTTAGTGACGGTTGTTACTAAAGACGATCGGCACGTTGGGCACTGCTTCGTGAGCCAGTGGATGCATGGGGACGATCGAGTCTGGTGGATAACACAACTGCTCGTGGTGAAACGCTATCGCAACCAGAGACGAGCTACACGAGTGAGCATCTATCACGTATCTTGATTAAGGATTTGCAACTAACATATAGTAGATGCTACAAGCCCTGGCCATGCACTACGATATCGGCAGATCTATACAAAGAGATCTTGTCGGAATAGCAACCGTGAACCCGTATAGTCTTTGTGCTATTCTTCGCGTTTTTGGTCGCGGTATCGAAGTACTGCCTTCGAAGCCGGATTGGGAGAAATGTCGCATTCGCCACACGCCGCTGCTCAGTTCCGCGTGTGAGCCTATAGTTGGCGCCGCACCAGTCAGCTACATCCGCAATGCCAAACTATCGCGGGGGAGATTGATTACAAATACTAGATTCTTTGTAGATCACGCCACATCTGAAGAAGCGATGAACAGAATCATACACAGCATGAACCAGCAGGTGTCCGGGCCGTGGGAGTGGTTATTCGGCTGCTTGGAACCTGGGTACGAATACTTGTGTATCCTCGATTATTCCTACGATCAGGAATACAAGATGGATCTGGCACTCTGTGACACACCATCGGTTCCGAATGAGCCGTATATGGGGAAGCACGTTGCGAGCCCGTCGAAAGCGCTGTTTAAAGCAGCTTTTGGCAGCTCCAGGCCGCCTGCGCAGAGCCCAATCCCGGTTCGATATGCTGACATCGATCGATACTTACTCGAGGTGCCTGAGAGTTGTGTTCTCGATCTGAACCTCAGCAATCGTGCCCATGCATCCTTGCATGGCAGTATGCGCAAACTTATCTATGAAGCCAAAGAGCTGATTGCAAAGCATTTGCGTGTTTTGCCTACCATCATGGGCGCAAAGCAGATACCAAGAGACCTTCGAAGAGTCTATCAGACGGCCAATATGATCTTCCCGTTACCGGGACAGATACAGACGTGGGGAGATTTTGTACCGTACATACATGAGGTCTTCGAACACGGCATTAACGCTGAAGCTCGCATGTTGATCCTACAGGCGATTCATTTCCAGGAGCTCCGTGAGACCGATGAGAGGGAACAAAAAGAGAGAGCGAAGAATGCCTCGGCATTAGCCAAAGCGACTAGATCGAAAGAGAAAAAACGGTCGTCGATGGACACGAAGGAGAAGCCTGGGATTGAACCGTTAGCATACGCCGCATACTCCCTCAAAGACAAAAACGAGGAGCCATTCGCAAAAACGCGAACAAAGCGTAAGCTCACGCCGACAACGCCTACTAGAAAGCCTCTGGCTCCGAAATCCCAAGGGCTATTTGGAGCAACCAAGGCGATAATGAACACCCCCACATCCACTCCTAGACATCGGGCAGCATCAATGTTCTCTTCCATGAGTCCCTTCCGGAAATCTAAAGAGCCAAAGTCACAGTCTCGACACTCTAGCATGGCGATGAAGGCATACAGCCCTGCACCAGCCATACCAGAGACGGCACCTAAACACAACTCCAGTCCAGTTGCCCAGTCTACCGTGTGGACGCCGGCTTTTGTGGCTCCCGAAACACCTGTCTCTACAGCCCTTGTTGCTCAAGGACAAGGTGAGATATATGCCGCGACAACACCACCCACAACTCCACCATCCGCTCAATCGCAGCCGAGTCTTCCACATTACATGGCCCCAACCGTGGGCTCAATGCAACGGTACGAGACCCGCAGCCCTCGGCTTTTCTATTCCGATGAGTCTGATGACTGCAGCAGGTCGAATGTTTTTGGCCAGCGTTCTCTGAAGAATAGTGCGAAGACGTTGGATCGGACGCAGGGCATGAGGGGATAAATCATTTGCTGGGGTTCAATATGCCGTGAGCCATCTTGACGACATGGTCCTCTTGGTTGTTCGAACAATCATTGATGGGTATTATTTTGTGAATTCCAACAAAATAAGAGGCTGGTGGAGGATGCAGAGTCAGGAGCGATGCTACGGCTAGTGTGGGGCATGACGCGTCTCGATGAGCTAGTGCGTGGATGGGACCTTGCTTTTCTCTCTCTTCAATCAATGTACACTTCACTTTCACGATCCGCCTAGATGGCGCTCGAAATACTGTCAACACAAAGCCATCTCATTCTCTAGGCATATTACAAGACCTTAGTGTTGCGAAACCGGTCGCTCGAACTAGGCACGAGTGTGATCCACTCGCCACTCCATATGAACGCATTCATCTATCTTACACTGACGCAAAGAAATATAGCATGGAAGCTAGTCATGAAAACCTGATCTACGCTTACAAGGCCCAGGCAGCAATAGCGAAGACGACCGACAAGCCCATGGCCATCGAGTTCACAACCGAGACCGAAGTAGCAGCTCCAGCTCCAGTACCGCTAGGGGCAGCGGTGCCAGATTGCTGAGCACTCTCGCTTCCACCGTCACTTCCGCCATTGTTACCGTTGTCGCTGTCGTTACCGCCGTCGTTGTTGTTACCGCCAGTGGTAGTGTTGCCGCTTGAAGAGCCACCAGATGAAGTGCCGTTGTTAACGGGCTCCGCAGAAGGCAATTCCTTTTGCTCCTTAGGGCAGCTGATGTCGAAGCGCGGGGTGGTGGAGAGGTTGTCGGAGACGGCGAACTTCACCTTGTTCGCGGGGTTGGCGTCGCGGAGTGTGTACCAGAAGACGTTCTTCTTGCCGAAGAGCGCGCAACCGACATCCTTCCAGTATGTCTCGGCGTTG